CTTAATTACAACTTCAGATAAACATGTATTGGCCATTAAGAAGGGTTTAAGTAGCATAACCAGAATCTGTGAAATCACATTCTTTTTTAACTTCATATGAAACATACAGAGGCCAAAGCAATTAAGCAACGAAAAATGCAGTTCAATCTGTAGCATTGCAATCTTTGAACAAGGTTGGCCTTTTGTGTCAGTTCAATAATTTCAACCAGATACGAGTTCTTGTAGAGACTGAGCTGAAGGGTGTGGACAAGATGTCAGTATCGTCTGATTGAGCAGACGCTGGTTCTTCACAGACGGTAAAGTTGTATTCTTGGACACCATCATCAGGTATTGGGATGACCTTGATAGTTTTCAAATCTTCAAGGTCAGCAGAGGATGTCAGGTTGACTAGTGCATCTCCAATGTCTCTGTCTTGATATTGCATTCTAAAACGTCCACCTATAGAGTGCCACAGTGACACGTCCTAAAACCCTGAAGTAAGTCAGCATTTTACTGAATGTCCTCTCCATTAAAGGCAGCTCATTGTGGAATAGCCTCCCAACTGAGATACGGGATTGTCCCACTCTCAATAGCTTTAAAGGTCAACTAAAAGAATGGTTGAGAAACAAACAGACGTGCAATCACCGCTAAATGCACTTTCACACAGGGGTATCTCCTCTTGCACTTTATGTAGCTCTTTTATCTTTTCTTGCACTTTATATGTCGTAGCTGCTACATTGTACTGCCATGTGGTAAATACTTGTATATGCTGCTCTTGCTCTTTTTGCATATCATGTATTTATTTTTGCTATCTTTATAAATGTCATGTTCTTATATGTTGTATGTGAGGGACTGCGGATGGAAATTAGCTCAAAGCTAAAATCCGGCATATTTACACTTGAAGCATTNGTATGGAAAAAAGAGGAGTTTATTCACGCTCCCCAAAACAACCGACCACCAAACAGGGTTAACAAGCTCTATGCAGGAGGAGAGCAGCCCGGAACAGCTATCCTCCTGCATAGAGCTTGTTAACCCTGTTTGGTGGTCGGTTGTTTTGGGGAGCGTGAATAAACTCCTCTTTTTTCCATACTCACGTCGTCGTCTCATCGCTGCGTTTGTTATGGCTGAGAGCCAAGCCGTGACAGGCTACAGGAGAGTTTTGTAAAAAAAAAAAAGTCAAAGTGATCTTGATTGACTTTTATTTATTTTTTACATAAGTGCAAATTGGTTGCATAATTTACTCAATTAATTGTATTAATTTATTGATTTATTGATTTTTAATTAAAAAAATATTGTATTTTATAAAACAGAATAGGTGAAGCATATTTTAAAGACATCCCAATAAATGTTAAGGTCTTTTGAAGAGAATATTCCTGTATTTATGTGAACTGAGCTAAACAAAGTGTTATAAGTTTAAAGCAAATGTAATTTGTTTACAGTAAACAAAACACAGTATTGTATTGATGTACATTAAAGTTTTTGCTTTGTACTAAAAGAAAATATTTTAAGCTATAATAAAACATATTGCCTTCAACAAAATTAAGTATTTTTTTTAATTAGTTTTCACAAACTTAAAAACTACTCAGAACTAATATAAATATGAGGTTAGTCCAAAAGGAAAAATTAAGTTATAACAAAGTAATAAATGTTGTGCGGTCTTCAGAATGAATCATCTTATTACTTTTTTTAATGTAAATATATATCTTAGACGGAAGCAATATTTTTTACTTGACTCAAATAAAAAATGTTAGGTCAAAAAATTAAGTAGGAATAAACTAAAAAAATGTGCTGTAACAAATTAGCGAAAATGTTTTAAGTTAGTCCAAAGTATCAATTTGTTCAATATACACGAAGGCAGGGCTCCAGCAGATAGTCAGGACCACAGACGGTCTTTGTCAATGCCTTCTGAAGCCCCTGCCTCTGTACTTCTTATCCACCTGATCTGAATGTCAAATCCAAAATATGGTTTGCTGCCCATCATCTTCTGTCACCTGTAGTCATCAAAGTCAGGAAGATAGCAGTCTGATAGCTCTTGTCACAGACAGCCACCAGCTTCACTGCTCTCCTCCAAAAGCAAACAGAGACCCACCAAAACACA